TCATCTGGTACTCCTGGCATCAGGTACATGATTAGATTTATGTATGTAACAAACAAAATTAAACAAAAAAAGCGACGAATGTAGAAGTCCTTGAAGCAACTGCTGCTGACTTTCCTGGGTGTCCCTAGCAGCACCAACTCCGAGCATAGGTGACTGTTTAGCAAAGCGGTGAGGGGCGCAGGCGCTAGGTTTGAGCCATGTGGGTTCAAGTCTCACTGTTGCCATTCACTGGCTTTGTGCCTGTGTGTAGGTTACTAAACCTCGCTGAGCCTCTGAATTCACCTACACCTCAAACAGTGCCTACCGTGTAGGTTTGCAGTGAGACTGAGATGACACAGGGTTTGGGAGTGGGTGACGCACTCTTAAGCACTCGGCAAATTTTGGAGGTTATAATCCAGTTACTGCTGCTCACACCTGCTCAGAGTCTCGTTCCCTTGGCCCTACAGATTCACATTTAATCATATCACAGGGTGAAACTGTTTCACTTTAGCCGAACTCACAAGAGGCCAGAAGACCAAATATGTTATTAACAACAGCCACCTGAGGCATGTCCTTCTGGGATGAAAAAAAAGCCCCAAACCCCCAAGATGCTGTTTGTACTTCACATACTGAACAAAAGCCAAAGGTGGCTTGTTAATATTGGTTGGGTGCAAGTGCTCCCAGACCAATGAAAGACATCCTGAATTTTCACAGAATCACCCGACTGAGGTCAGAATCCTGATGCCCACTGGATCTGACCTCTCCCTGCTAGCTGTAGGCAAGGGACGATGGCTATTTTGCTCCCACTGGCTGACCACACAGCAGCCCCTCAATAAATATTTGTAAAGGAATGAATTCCTAGGGCGGGGCACATTTAATATCAATAAATCCTGTTCCTTTTCTTTCTAGATTTCAGGCAAACTGACTCCCTTCTCCACTATTCATTGGATCACAGCTTTTCTTGCATTCACTGTGTTTCATTCTCCCGGATGGAGACACACTGATGAATTTTGGGAAATACCCTGCTCTCATCAGTCATGTTTACAAATCTTCTAGCATCCCCTTCCCTGTGTCCCATTTATACTCTGTGTAACTGGCATTCCCCTGCCTGCCACCGACATGACAGTGGAGCTGGTCCACCTCTGCCACCTGGGGTGTTTTGCAGCTCTGTCCTCTGGACAGAGGTCAAGAGCACATCTTCCTCCGGGAAGGTGATTGTCCTTTTGATAGGTTTTTTGTTTTGTTTTTAAAAAAAACACCCTGCATTTTGCATCACCCTAACAATTCAGTTTTATGTGTCTCAAACAACCAAGTGGATAGCTGGCTAAGGTCACAAGCCTCCCCCTGGATTCGCCTCCAAGGACGAACCCATCTCCTGTCCAGGCAAAGACAGGGGACCTGACAAAAATGAGGACAAGCCTATCTACCTCTCATTTGAAGTTCAAAGGACCTATGCCAACAACAGGCCAGCAGTGAACAGGTGGATGATGGCACTAGGGTTAGACATGCAGGGAGGAAAGGGCCACCTTGATTTCCTGTCTTACGTGAACTTGGCAGAATTTCAGTTTTTCATAGCTTGACTCTGCCTTGTGGCCCTAGAATAAAACACCTAATCACTCTCACTTGGCAGAAAGGTTCAAGAAATCAGAGAAAGGATTCAAAGCTCTGATTCTTGTCTGGCCCCGTGAGAACCCTAAGATGAATCTGAGTAACTGTATGTACCCTTGGCTAAAAGTACCCAGCACTCCCAATCATTTGACTCTCTTCCAACAAAAAGCTCACAACGGCTATTTCCTTGAGCAGTTCCAGGGTGGCAGGAATGCCACGTTTCCTTGGAGAGTCACACAGGAACTCATCAACTGAGTTCCATGGGGGTAGTACTGGTATTTGAGTTCTCCTGGCCTTCCATGCCCTGCCCCAAAATATTTTCACAAGTTCTAACCTGGCATGCCGGCTCTCGGAAGGCAGAAGTATGACAAGTATTCAGATAAGCCAGTGGAATTTGGAGTATGGGTTTGTTCTTTGTTGATGAGAACTAAGAGCATGCTTCATGTTAGATGTCCCTCTGTCCAAAGTGCACGTGGTCAAGTCCTGCACCCAGCAAGCCCTCGGGAGTTATATAGTACCCGTATGCAGAATGAAATAATTAGTCCTATTTTAATGTACATGACGAGTTTATTGTCTTGTTTTGTTTTTTAACTTGGGGCCTTGTGTTTGCTAGGCCTGCACTCTACCACTTGAGCCATGAGCCCAGCTCGATTTCATTCTTAAAGGATGGTGTAGTGAGGAAGTAATGTAACGGTGTTTTATGTCTGTAGGCAATTTTTTATGATTAGAAGTGAAAGTAGGGTTAACCTTTAGTTTCAAGTTTTACTTTTTACTTATTTTTGTGGCTGTTTTGCTTCGTTTTATGACAGAGTAGTGTAGTAAAAAGAGCTTCAGGTTTGGCGTTGGATCTGTTTTCGAATCCCAGACCTGGCATATTCTGAGATAATAGTACGTCACTTACAGGACTTGTGATAGTTCAATGAAGTGGCCGGTGGTATTCCTAGCACATGGTGGGGGAAGGAATGTGAGAGAGGTGGGTCCTTCTTTCTTGGCAGGACCATCCACTGTCATGCTGAGGCTTGGGGTCTTTATAATTCCTGCTATAAAGTCACTCGTGTGCTGCTCATTTCAGAATAGCAGAGAGAGGGAGGAGGTGTCATGTCTAGACTTAGTCCTCTCCTGCTTGGACACATTTTTTAAAGTGTGCTTTTCTATAGTGAATGCTACTTCGGATCTTACACACCCTGGTTTTGGTTAGACCTCCCTTACCAAGCCTCTAATAGACCCAAACTTTATTCAAAACACAAACTCTTAGCAACTCAGGAAGATTTCAGAGCCTCTAAAACTGGCAAGAAATTCAGGGAAATTTGATTGCTGCATGATTAATTGTGGGTGGATTGGTCCCGGAAGAGCACACATGGGACATCAGCGAGCAGGCAGCGGCTTGCAGAATTTCACAGAATAAACCATTTCACAGAGAGGCCCCAAGTACATGTTTTGGATGAAAGTTCAGAGTGAGGGTGGGGCCTGACAAACTGAGGAAAATGCCACATGTGTGGACAACAGTCCTCTTTTGAATTCACTAACACCCAAAAAGATGACACCTGGGAGCAGATTCTAAAATGAACCAGATTAGAGCACGAGATGAGGGGACCAGCAGGCACAGGACATGCGAGAAGGATAATCACACTCACCACCACGATTGCCCCTGGCCCAGCTCCCCTCCAACAGCCAACAACAGCTCACTCAATGAAGTTATTCATCCATAACCAAGTTGCCTCACTCTTTATGCTGAGACAAAACCCTGCCTGGCCTCAGCTCCTTGCCCGCATACAGCCGGCCCCCACCCTGCCACCCTCCCCCCTAGTTTTTAGTATCAGCAGTGGCTGTTTTTCCAGACAAGATTGGATACTACTTTTAGGAGTGGCTTTGACATTCAGGAGCTCATTAAGCTCACTACTGCCTGTGCACAAGGAAAGGGTGTTGGCCAGCTGCTCAAGAAATCTTGGGATGCTGCTCAGGTAGGGGCCTCCCTCCCCTTGCACTGGTGAGCTCAAAATCGTGCTATTTGAGCACTGTCTCACCAAAACGGAAATGGAACTGAAATACAGAACTGTACATATTCCAGTGGAAAGAGAAGTTCCAAAGATAGGGCTGCCACGAATAGCCTTAGGGCTCAGTAAAGAGTGGCTTGGGCTTTCTGGAACAGACAGCCCAGCCCTATCTGTATACTCTGTATAATTTCCCTAAGGCTAGGTGTAGTCTCTGCAGAATTATAGAAGCCTAGGCTGGACCCACCCTTCCTGCAGACCAGTCCCTCTCCAGAAAGGATTGCCCTGGGCCTAGGTGTACCCGGATCAACTCGGAAAATGTGTGAGTTCAGCAACCTCCAATCCCAACGAGCACTAGCTCACTTATGATTCCTTCAACTAATATTTAATGAGCACCTGGTACCACTGTCAGACAACATGTCCAATCAGGTTCGAGACTAGTTGTATGAGTCACTTCCAGAGCTTATGTTACATTCACAGCAGATATAAATAAAAATTAAAGGGAAGAAATAAAATATAGGCAAATGTTCCTGTAGGCCACCCACATAGCATACTGGGCAAGAGATGAGAATGAGAAAGAAGGGAACAGAGGAGAAGGGAAGGAGTGGACCACTAATGGATCAAGTCCATTAGTGACACCAGACATTGATGTTGTTGGCCAATTTCAACACATGACACCAAACCCATTTCAGCATCAATGTCCTAAGAATCCTCCAGGGCTGAGGATGCACTGGGTGACAGAGTACTTGCCCCATGCTGAGGCCCTGGGTTCGATCTCCAGTGCCAGGGGTGGGGAAAGAAAGTAGAAAGACAGCAATCCAGGCAGGCACTCAGGCACTGTGGTGGCATCTGTAATCCCAGCACTGAGGAGGCTGAGATAGGAAGATCATGGATTCAAAGTGAACCACTGAGTCTAAGGCCAGTCTGGGCTGGGCTACACAGCAAGATCAGGTCTCAAAACAAAAACAAAACCAAGCAAAACCAACAATTCTCCACTCTCCCACTCTAAGCCTTCACATGCACGAACCCTAAAGAGGCCAAGGGAGGCCTCTACCAGACTGTCTCCAGAAGTGGGTCCTGAAGGAGTGGGAGCCCTCCGGTGCATACCTTCTAATTCCAGAGGCAGTGTGCATTTCTCCAACACACCACGGGGTGCCAGGAAGAGAACACCTTGCTCTAAACCCTCCACCCCATCTCTTCTAAGCTGACCCAGAGTGAGGCCCCCTCTGCTCCCACACTGTCACCTGTGGATTGCGGGGCTCCACAAGCCTCAACCACTGAGCTCCTCCCTTAGGACTTGGCTCCAGGGCATGCACCGCTCTGTCCCGGGCACCCTGGGACCCCAGGCCCAGGCACACCAATAAGTCTGCGCTCGCTTGTCCCCTCCAACTACCAGAGACAGCCACTGGCCCGCGCACTTACCTCCCAGTGCAGGGACCCAGAGCCATGCGCTCCCCAAAACCCAGAGCAGCACTGGCGCCTTCCACATCTTTCCAGTCCACTGGTTCTTTTCGGGACCGAGCAGCTTCTTTTGTGCTGGGGAAGATGAAAAAGCCCCGGAGCCAACGATTCAGCCTGAAAGAGCAGGAGACCCGGCTAGGATGCGGCGCGCAAAAAAGTCCCGGCTCCGGACAGACGGACTGAGGGCGCCCGGGCTTCCTGGGCCCGCAGCAGCAGCAGGGACAACAAACTTGGCAGCTGGCAGCTGGGGAGCAGAGTCAGCATTTATCTCTCCCGGGCCGGGGCGGGCAGCGGGTGGGCGTCAGGTGGTCTCGGCCCCGCGCGCGCTAGGACCGCCCTCGGGCTCTGTTTGGCCAGCGCCAAAACCATGATCTCAGGCCAGGTTTAAAGTTACAGGGCCGCAGCTGCACCGCCCCAGCCCGGGCCAAATGGGATCTTGATGCTGTTCAACCAGAGGGAGAGACCGGGCCGTTTGCAATCAACAGCTGGCTCTGCTTCTTAATTTTCATTTATTTTCTTTTACTATATTTATTATTCTGCTTTAGAAAGGGCTGCATTTTTCTCCTTAGGGGTTGAAGTGAGCAGTAAACCGTTCCTGGTGTGGCCAGAAGTTTTAGCACCAAGCCTGGGATTGTTCCTTGTGTAAATATTGAATTTGATGGCTTACCCCTTTCCGACTCCCCCCCTCCCCCGCCAAAAAAAAAAGGCTGTCATCTGTGTGGGCCAGGGGGGACTCCAGTTGATCAATTGCACCCTTGTGCAGGGCACCAAGCTCAGGGTGCTGCCAGGAAACGGGATGGTGGAGTCTGTGGCTTTGACAGTTTTGAAGAAAGTCTGAGGAGTTCCTTCGTTCCTCTGTCCCTCTGGATGGAGCATTTTGGCTGCTGTGTCCCTCAAATGAGCAGTTGGACCAGGCGCAGACCGGTGGTCATTCACCAGTGTCTGCTAACAGCTTGGACTCATCCTCTGAATTCCGGAGTTTGGCCCCATAAACTCCACTTTACTGGCTTAAGGACTCTTTCCTTGACCTTTAGAAGTGGGTATCAGTGACAAGAGAATTTACATTGTGCTTTATTTTCGTCTGATTTGTTGGGATTAAGAATATGTGTATTTAACAGCAGGATTTGGGGAGATGGTCTCTGCCTCACTCCCAGGTGCCACAAATTCCATTCAATAAAAGAACCTAAAGATTAATGCCCACAAAGTGCCACACACACTGGGTGAAAATGGTCCCATCTTTACTTTGACCAGATTCCAAGTTTATTTTATAAGAATCACAAGGTGTGGGGGAGAGGGGGGAGTGGTTTAAAAGCTCAGGTTTCTGGGTTCCAGACCAAACTCATTAAATAAGACCTTTTGGGGGCTGGGAGAATGGCTCAAGCGGTAGAGTGTCTGCCTAGCAAGTGCAAGGTCCTGAGTTCAAACCACAGTACTGCCAAAAAAAAAATAAAAAATAAAAAGACTTTTGGGAATTCCTGGTTTAAACCAGTATCCCAGGGGAACTTGCCTGGGGGACACTTGGAAAACCAACCATGCCCTCTAGCAGCACTTCTCAGTGTGAACCACAGGGTGCTGCTCACCCAGGGCGGGTGCAGCTTCCCTGAGTCTGGAGAGGGGAGATTTTACTTTTCTAAGGATTACCCAAGAGACAAGCACAGGAACTGAGTCCTGAAGTAAGGCAAGAGAAAACTGGCTTCCTCTCTTTCTGATGCTTTGCGTTACTATTTCTCCAGTAGGAATAATATTTGCTGACAGACTGAATGTCATGTGCCTTGTCTGTAGAGTCTGTTAAATGGAAAACAGATGCCAATGGAGTCTAAGTTAGCAACTGAAAGTTTGAAATACATCTGATGTAGAGGGACATTGGGGCTAGACTAGGATTCCAGGAGACCCCGCCCTTTCCCCAGTTCTCCCTGCCTCCTAGGGATGGAGGAGGATGGTAGAGAATGGAGGAGGGGGAACATAACAGAAAGCAGAGTTTTGCTGGGGACTTTGGGGCAGTCTGTGGACAGCTCCTGGTTGTTGTTGATCTGAGTAACAGGAGTGGCTGAGCCTAGGAGGGACTCTGAAGGACCAGAAAGAGGAAACCACTTTCCTCAACGGTGAAGACTGCGGGTTGATGGAGAGGCATCTGTCCTTGGACACAGGGGGATCTGGAAGTCCCAGACCCAGCTGGGGGTAAGGGGAGGACAAGAGGGGACTGTAGAAAATTCCTCACTCTTGGGAAACAGCTTTGCGGGATTGCTGATGTCACTTTGTGGGATTGCTGATGTCACTTTGTGACAACAATGATGATGTACTGGCCAGATAACAGTCACGGGTACTCTGTTGACTGACCATATCGTGCTCCTGGAATGTGCATTGTCTCATTGGATCCCCAAACAACTTTGATCTAGGAACATTAACAGTCAAGGTGACTGGCTTTGAGTGATTCACCAGGATGGCTTTCCAGGAGGACTGATGTTTTCATGGGGGTCTCTCCGAGGCTTTTTCCAGTGAGCTAAACCCCATTTTGCTTGCAACCTCCCGTAAAAGAATTTTGCAAAGCTCAGTTCCAATTATCTTTCAATATGGAGGTAAGTCAGTCCTGCCAGCACTTAGGATCTGTGAGGATGGGTTCCAGGATGCCCATGGGTGTTAAAATTCATGGATGCCCAAGTGCCCTATATAAAATGGTGCAGTGTTTGTTTACAGATAACCTGTACTCATCTTTCCATATGCTTTAGCTCTCTCTAGATGACTTATAACACCTAATACAGTGTCAACACTGGGTAAATTGTTGTTGTGCTGAATTGTTTGGGGAGTAGTGACAAAAAAGAAGTCTTAACATGTTCAGTACAGTCACAATGGCTTTCCCCTCATATTTTCTATCTGTAGTTGGTTGAATCCGTGACACAGAGGACAGAGGGTCAACTGTGTATTTTTAACTTATTAAACACTTCGTTAAAAGAAAGATGATGATGGTCTGTAATTGGAAAAAAATGTGTTGTGATATGATTTGATAAAACTGACCATGAAAGAAATTACATCAGATTTTATAAGTGAATTTTAGTCCATAATGTTGATAGTTTTGATACAAGGCCTGAACACTTTCTGATTATACTTTTAAAGAATAGGCATTGCTAGCAGATCTTATTTTGTAAAAATCATGTGCATTTATTAGCTGGGCTTGGTGGTGTATGCCTGTAATTCCAGCACTTAAAAAGCTGAGATAGGAACATTGTAAGTTAAAGGCCAGCCTAGGCTATAGAGTGAGACCCTGTTTCAAGAAACAAAACAAAACACAACCCTTAAAGAAGATATGGAAAAGCCAGGTGCCAGTGACTCAATGCCTATAATCCTAGCTACGTGAGAGTCTGAGATGAGGAGGATTGCTGTTCTAGGCCAGCCTAGGCAAATAGTTCACTAGCTCCCATTCTCAATGGAAAAAGCTGGGTGTGGTGGCACATACCTGCAACCCCAGTGATGGTGAGAAGCTTAAAATAGTCTCAAGGTTCAGACCATCCTGGAAAAAACAAGATCCTAACTCAATAAAATAAAATAAAATAAAATAAAATAAAATAAATTCAAAGCACAAAGAGCTGGAGGAGTGGCTCAAGTGGTAGAATACTGACCTAGCAAGTATGAAGCCCTGAGTTCAAACCCAGGTACTGCAAAATAAATAAATAAATAAAGAAGATATGGATAGAAAAAGTAATAATACACCCAGATTTCCTGTGTGTTTATTTGCAACTCTTTTCTTCTTTTCTTTCCTTCTTTCTTTCTTTCTTTCCTTCCTTCCTTCCTTCCTTCCTTCCTTCCTTCTTCCTTCTTTCTTTCTTTCTTTCTTTCTTTCTTTCTTCTTTCTTGCTTTCTTTCTTCTCTCCTCCTCCTCCTCTTTCATGGTCCTGAGAATTGAACCCAGGGTCTCCTGCAGGCTAGGCAGGTGCTCTACCTGTGAGTTATACCCCCAGCCCCTCAACTTTTTCTTTTGAAATAATTTCAAATTTATAGCTTGCCCAGCATATGCCAAGCCTTGGATTTGATTACCAGCACCAGGAAAGAAAAAGGAAGGGAAAGAAAGAAGGAGGGAAGAAGTGATGAAGAAGAGAGAGGGAGGGGAAGAAGAAGAAAGAGAGAGTTCTAGGACTCCCCCCACCCTTTTCCCAGATTCATCAATTTGTTTATGTTCTGCCTTATCATTATCTCCACCATTATCTCCATGTTTATATGCATTTCGACCCTGATTTATTGCTGAATCACTGGAGAGCTATGGATACTTTTCCCCATAGTCCTAGCTACTTAGGTGTGAATTTCCTAAGGTCAAAGACCTTCTCTTGCACAACTAAGCAGAACTATCAGTCAGGAAATTTAACATTAAATAATTACTATTGGTAGGGGTTGTAGCTTAGTCACAGAGCACTTGCCTAGCATGCACGAGACCCTGGGTTCAATTCCCAACACAAATAAATAAGCAAAAAGCCACAAAACAAACAAAAACACTATGATTGTATAAGGTGAGCATGGTGGTGAGCACCTGTAGTCTCAGGTACTGGGAAGGCTGAGGCAGGAGGATTGCTTGAGCCCAGGAGTTCGAGATCAGACTAGTCAACATTTCAGGAATGGGGGGAGGAGGGATAATGGAGAATGATGGAGGGGGTGAATTCAACTGTGATATATTTGATACTTTGTAAGAACTTTTGTAAATGCCACAATGTACCCCCACCCAGCACAACAATAAAAAAGTTGGGGATGTATAAAAATTGATATTTGTAAAGGTGGAGGGAGAGTTCTGGGATGTTGGGAAAGCCCCAGTGGCACCTCTCCCCATCTCCGCACACATCCTAATCACCTCCAAACTGGCTGATGGCTAAGTATGCATGGAGCTGATTCCTTAGCTTAAAGACCCGTCCCTTTTTCACTGCAAAAGTTTTAGGAAGGACAGCACCTATAGCACCATTGGCCTTGATGGATGGAGGGTCTTAATCTGTTTAGTGTTGTTACACTAGAATATCTGAAACTGGGTAATTTGTAAAAGAAATCTATTTCTCACAGTTCTGGAGGCAGGGAAGTCCAAGACTGAGGGCCTGCATCCTGTGAGGGTCTTCTTGCTGTGCCATAATTTGGTAGAAGGTATCACATGGCCAGAGAGCAGGAGCAAGCAAACTCAGGGTTTTTGTTTTCTGGTGGGGCTGGAGTTTGAACTCAGGACTTTCTGCTTGCA